CCGCAATATGGTTCTCTCTTAGAAACTGTCGCGTAATGTTTGCGGTGTGAGGACGTGCATTATCGTGCATTAAGATTATTATGTATAGAGCACAGTCGATAAGTAGATATATGGCGCCTATCTCGCCATATAGTTTTAGTTTCTGTCTTTGCATACGTTAGCAACATCGTCGTGTCGACTACAAGACTTTCTGTTACTGTTACGATTATTCGAATAAACAGCACGATATTCACGGTTACATCTCCTCTCGATTACTAAGCGTATCCTTGTCCAAAGCCACCGATCCTTGTCGGTAGCAATTAAAGACACAACAGTGGTGTCAGAAGTTATAGTAGTGTGAGCTCAATCCTAGCTCAAAATACGCGGAAGATCGAGAATGTACAGGTTAGGAAGTAACGAAATCGGTAGAGACAATGGAAGTGCCACCGGAATTGATTCAGGCCATGACATCCATGCTCGCGAATGCGATTCAAACGTCGGCGACACAGGCAGCAGCTGCAAATGCCTCATCGGATGCAACGAGGACGTCGGTGCGACCGAGACCGCCGCAATTCGCAATGTCGGAATATCGATCAACGGAATCAACAACAGTTGCTGATTATTTCAAACGTTTTGACTGGGCGCTTCAGCTAAGTACAATACCAATAGAACAGTTCGCAAATTTTGCGCGCGTGCACATGGGCGCAGAGCTAAATAACGCACTTAAATTCTTGGTTAGCCCGCGTCTACCCGAACAATTAGAATACAACGACATCAAAGAGACCTTATCAGTCATTTTGATCGCGTTAAGAACAAGTATGCGGAAAGCGTTAAATTCCGCCAGATATCTCAACAAAAAGGCGAATCAGTCGCCAATTTTACCTTGCGCCTTCGACAAGGGGCGGTCCATTGTGATTACGGTGTCTTTCTCGATAAAATGCTCATCGAGCAAATGCTCCATGGACTACAATCGCGCGAAATGTGCGACGAAATAATCGCGAAGAAACCCATTACATTTACGGAAGCGTACGAAATCGCGCATACGTTAGAGTCAACACACCATACAGCAGATGAGGTTAAGAGCGGTACGCCGTCAAATGCAGAATCGACTAATTTGCTAAGATGTGCATCACAACTCCGAACGAGAAAAGCTAAAGAATCTTTTCGTTGTAGATTATCATCAAGACACAGATCACGACAGCGCACACAGAGTTCTACGCGCAATGATACGAGACCAAGTCGGAACACGCATGCCTGTAACGGATGTGGAGGCTCACATCCGCGCAAAGATTGTAAGTTCCGAGACGCAGAGTGCCACAAGTGCAAGAAGAAAGGGCACATTGCGAAAGTGTGCAAATCAAGAGAGCAAACCACAGATCAGGTAGCAACGACAGAACAACCAGCTGAAAAAATAGATGTAATACAGCGTCTAAATAGCCTCAACCAGAATAATACTATCAACACGGTCGGACGGCAATTTATAACAGTACTTATCGAGGGACGTAACCTCTAAATGGAATTGGACAGCGGTGCACCATGTGGAATTATCAGCAAGGCCAAGCTACAAGACATCAGACTGCACCAAACGCTTAATGACACGGACCGACAATTCGTGAGTTACACGCATCATCGTCTTAAATGTATAGGCTACATTCCAGTTAACGTAACACTAGGAAACACCACGAGGAAACTAAATCTGTACGTGGTCGATGGCGATTACGATACGCTCTTCGGGAGAGAGTGGATTGCCCAATTTGCTCATGAGATCGACTTTAGAAAACTATTCACAACCCCAGAAAAGTTGAATAGTCTTATTAATAAGCCTACGACACAACCGCTGACAGCAGACGAAACCAATCGCCTCAATGCTTTATTGCAGCAATATGACAACGTATTTAACGAACATCCCGGGAAACTGATTGGTCCGCCAATATCAGTTCATCTCAAGCCGGATGCGACACCAGTATTTGCCCGAGCTCGTGACATACCTTTAGCCTTACGCGAAGCTTAAGCTAAGGAAATAGACAATAAACTCGTCTCAGGTTTCTACAAACGAGTCGAACATTCGGAATGGGCTTCGACTACTCACGTGGTTATGAAAAAGAACGGAAAAATGAGAATAACGGGCAATTATAAGCCAACCCTAAATCCACGAATGATCATCGACGAACATCCAATCCCGAAGGCCGAACATATTTTTCACCGCATGAAGGGATCTACATTATTCTGTCACTTAGACATAACAGACGCATATACACATATAGTAGTGGATAAAGAATTTAGTCACGCGTTAACATTGAACACACCTACGCACGGATTAATCAGACCAACGCGTGCGGTGTATGGCGCAGCAAATATCCCAGCAATTTGGCAACGGCGTATGGAAACAGTATTACAAGATATTCCTAATACCCTCAATTTTTTCGATGATATCTTGGTATTCGCAGATAATTTCACGGATCTCCTATCAACGCTAAATACCCTCCTAGAACGGCTCCAGACACAAGGACTTCGACTCAACAGAAATAAATGCAAGTTCGCAGTACCAACCGTAGAATTTTTGGGACATAGAATAGATGCTCAGGGACTTCATAAATCGGATCAACATATAGAAGCAATACGCGACGCACCCAAACCATCGACATGAGATCAACTACAATTATTATTAGGAAAGGCTGCATATTATAGTTCATTTATCCCTGACTTAGCAACCAGAGCAAAACCGTTAAGAGAGATGCTGCACAACGACCCATTCACATGGACACCAACTGCGGAAACAGCTTATAAGGAAATAAAAGATTTCTTGATTTCACCGCAGGTTTTGATAGCGTATGATCCAAAACTTCCGTTATTACTAGCGACAGACGCCAGTAAAGTAGGATTGGGCGCAGTCTTATCACATCGCCTCAACAATGGAGAGGACCGACCAATTGCCTACGCAAGTCGCACGCTCAGCAGCACAGAACAAAAATATCCGCAGATTGACAAAGAAGCATTAGCCATAGTCTGGACTATACGCAAATTTTTCCACTATCTTTATGCACGACATTTTATATTAATCACGGACCATAAACCACTGACACAAATCCTGCACCCGGAAAAATCGCTTCCAGTATTGTGTATCAGTCGGATGGCAAACTACGCAGACTATTTATCACATTTCAATTACAATATTGAATTCAGAATAACGAAGGAGAATGTAAACGCTGACTACTGCTCCAGAGCACCAGTTTCTATACAGAGGAAATTAACGAACAAAGAAGAAGGAGAAGAAGCAGAGCAATTCGATGACTTTGATTATTTCATTTTGAACCAAGTAAGACAACTTCCAATCCGAGCAGAGCAGATATCACGCGAAACACGGAAGGACCCGCATCTTGGGAAAATTGTGCAAGCTCTACAATCAGGCCATAACCTCACAAGCGCAGGATACAAAGCCCCAGAGGCAAATTATACACTGGCCGCCAATTGCCTATTGTTCGAACATAGAGTAGTGGTGCCATCCTCACTTCGTCAACCGATCCTAGAGGACCTACACGCAGCCCACCTGGGCATTGTAAAAATGAAGGGAATGGCACGTTCATTCGTTTACTGGCCCGGTATCGATGCAGATATCGAGCGAGTGGCAAAAGCATGTACTCAGTGCGCCGAACATGCACGGGCTCCTCCTCAGATGCGAAACCACCATTGGGAATATCCAAGAGGACCCTGGGAGCGTATTCACGTCGATTACGCAGGACCGGTAGCAGGAGTCATGTTACTCATAATCGTTGATGCGTACAGTAAATGGATGGAAGTTAAACCGACGAATTCCACCACGAGCACAGCAACAATAGCGATCCTTGATGAGCTGTTCACAGCATATGGGGCCCCCATCACAATAGTGTCGGATAACGGTACCCCATTTACATCAGCCGAGTTCCAGAAGTTTCTCCAAATGAGCGGAGTTAAATATCACAAGCGGATAGCCCCATATCACCCGTCAACAAATGGACAGGCTGAACGTTATGTCCAGACGACGAAGGATAAACTAAAAAGAATGGCAACCACTCCAAGCACCATTCGACAAGATTTGAATGAATTCCTTCGACAGTATCGGAAGGCCCCTCATTCCACTACGGGGCAATCTCCGGCCCAGCTGTTTCTAGGAAGGAATCTGCGCACCCGCCTAGACCTTGTTCGACCGCAAGACACACACGAGAGAATTTTAGAAAAACAACAAGTGGAGTTCAAACCGCCTTCGCGTATTTTTAATCAAATGCAAAAGGTTTATTTCATTTCAGGAAATCCTCGAATGGAGAAATGGATACCTGACACGATTGTCACTGTCGGCTAGGAAACCTCCATTACGAGATTGATTACCAGGGGAAACGGTTCAAGCGTCATCTTGACCAAATACGTGCCTTCCAAGGGCCAGACCTGCAAGCTGATTTAGATCCCCCGCCGACTCCGGAAAAAGTACCGGAACAACCCCGACGTATTCGATTCTACGAGACAGAACCAGGGCCGCGCAATGAACCCCCAGCACCCAGAGAAGTACCACCGCCACATCATCCTCCAGAGGTTCCAACGCCTCCTGCGACACCACCCGGACATCATCCGCCAGGGCAGGCCAGAGTTGAAATACCGCGACGATCTACACGCCAACGACGACAGCCCCAGCGCTACACCCCACGTTAGAGAAACACCCGAGGGATTATAACGATAGAAAAAGGGGAGGAAATATTAGGTATAGAGCACAGTCGATAAGTAGATAGGTGGCGCCTATCTCGCCATATAGTTTTAGTTTCTTTCTTTGCATACGTTGGCAACATCGTCGTGTCGACTACAAGACTTTCTGTTACTGTTACGATTATTCGAATAAACAGCACGATATTCACGGTTACGTCTCCTCTCGATTACTAAGCGTATCCTTATCCAAAGCCATCGATCCTTGTCGGTAGCAATTAAAGACACAACAAAGATGAATCTGTTTCTTGTCTGATCACGAATTGGATAGATATATGGACGTAAAATTTCATTGATATATTTCCTAGCAGTCAATCCAGGTGGTGGTATAACAACCAATGGTGTTCGTGAATTTCGTGATATTCCTGCCCAGACCATTACGGAACCTCCATAAAATCCTTTAATTTGTCTGTTACAATTCTGACGATATCTTTCGCCACGACGACGCCATACTTGTTGCCGTCTGTCATTCCCATAGAGAGAAAATCTCGATTCGTCCGTAAAAAGAACATTGCTCCATTGTCTTTGAATCCATCTGACATGACGATGTGCGTACGCTAAACGAGCACGCCGATGATAACGATT